ACCAGGCTGGCCTGGAACTCACAGAGATCCACCTGCCTCTGCCTCCTGAGTGCTGGGATTAAAGGCGTGCGCCACCACTGACCAGACACCTTCTGCTTGGTTTAATAAAAGACTGACTGACCAATAGCTAGACAGGAAGAGGCTATGCAGGAGAGCCAAACTAAGCGGATGTGGGAAGAAGGATGCAGCCACAGTAGTTGCCAGGACACAGGGGCTGAAAATATGTACCAAGTCACATGATAGATCATAGATATAAATATAGGTTAATTTAAGTTGTAAGAGCTAGTTAGTAACAAGCCTAAGCTACTGGCCAAGTACTTATAATTAATTATAAGTCCCAGTGTGGTTATTTGGGAGCTGGTTGGTGGGACAGGAAAGTCTGTCTACACACACAAATACACACATAGACACACTTGGAAGTCTGAACTGCAGCTTATGCTTATCACCTTGTCACAGGATCCTGAGGACACCCTGGCTGTAGAGGATTGTCTCAAAACCTGAAACAAAGGCAAGGCGGTGGTGGCACTCTAGGAGGCAGAGAAAGGTGGATCTCTGTGAGTTCATGGCAGTCTGGTCTACAAAGTGAGTTCCAGAACAGCCTCCAAAGTCACAGAGAAACCCTGTCTCAAAAACAAAAACAACAACAAAAACAACAGAAAAATAACATAGCTGTGAAATGACAGGGATGGCTGTCTTCCAGATCCTGAGGGACAGTCTGTCACCATGGTGTCACAGAACTCTGTGCCTGTTGGATACTCCAGGAGGCCATTCTCCAAGAGGCTGCTGGCTTCTGTCTCTCTCCTTCTCACCGTTCCCTGTTTTCACACGGCTATACCTCCGTGGTTTCTTTCCTGTGGCATCTTATCTTCTACATTTTACTTAGGATTTTTGGAGATAGGGTCTCATGCAGCTAAGGCTGGCCTTGAACCCCTGACCTTTCCACCTCGGCCTCCTGAGTGCTGGATGAGAAGTGCATGCGCCCATCTCCAGTGACCTCACCAGACCCATCCACAGAGTCCTTTCACCAGGAAAGATCCCATTGCCAGGTCCTGCGGCCAAGCAAGGACAGACAGAATTTTCGCAGGCCACCATCCAGCTGCTGGGTGCCACCCACAGCCTGGAGGAGCTTTTAGAGAGGAGCAGTAAGGAGGGAGTCACCCAGTCCTCCTGACAGCATCTCGGGGTGTTTCTTCTGTAAAGGTCACAGATAGTAGAACCCATGGCAGCCAGAAGCAAAAGAGAAAGTTCCAAAGGGCCAGCGCGATGGCTCAGTAGGTATGAAGGTGATTGCTGCCAAGCCTGATGGCCTGAGCTCAGTCTCCAGGACCCACACGACAGAAGGCAAGCACCAACTCCAGCAAGCTGTTCTCTGACCGCCACACGCGTGCTATGGTGTGTGTGCGTGTGCACACACATGCACGCACGCACGCATGCACACACATGCACGCACGCACACATGCAGGCACGCACACACATGAGCACCCACGCACGCACGGAGTGAATAACAAATGTTCCAGACCCTATTCTCAGTAAAGCCACCTCTGTCACAGGTAAAGGCCAGAATGCCACCACTCAGACAACACAGGGCCATCCTGTATTACTGCTTCTGTGAAGAGAGGGCCTTGCTGTGTGGTCCAGCCTGGCCTCGAATACCTAGTCTCTAGATACCCATGCTTCAGTCTTCCAAGCCTCTGGGACACGAGATGCGTGCCACCACACCTAGCTGACGAAGGACATTCTGTGGCCCAGGTCCTGTGGCCTAAGATACTCAGTATTAGTCACACCAGGAACCCAGTGTCCCAAGTCAACGGTCAACAGATGACACCCACCTCACCCACCCTCACCACTGCCTGCCCCTTGCCAGGCCACCAGCCCCCTCTCTGCATGTCCCACACATCCACTTAGCCTGAGCAGTCTCCAATGCCCTTGCCATCTTCCTAGGACACAGGGATCAGGACATGTGGCATGGACACCTGTGTCCAGCGTGCGCAGTAATGCAGCACCACCCCACAGAGCACGGGGCAGTGGGGGTGCGGTACAAGCCAGTGATCACACCCGGCATACGACAACTGTTAAAGAAGCAGCCGGCTCAGCAGGTGAAGGGTCTCGAAGGAGCTGACTGCAGGACTAATGACGACCATGAACCCTGGGACCCACACGGTGGAGACAGCTAACGGCCCCCACAGGTCGTGGTCTGACATCATAGTCATAACTCTCAAAATAAATCAAGATGTAGTCAATTTTCAAAAATGTTAACTCAGTCAATTGTGTCGTGTGTGTGTGTGTGTGTGTGTGTGTGTGTGTGTGTGTGTGTGTGTATACACTTTGTAGAGACTACAGGCCAGCCTCAGGCATTGTTCTTTAGGAGCCTTTAAACTGTTCACTTTTCAAGACTATCCCTGGCTGTCCTATTGACCAGGCTGGCCTTGAACTCACAGAGATCCTCCTGCCTCTGCCTCCTGAGTGCTGGGATTAACAGCATGCATCACCATGCCCTGCCACATTTATTTTTTAAACATGGGTAGTGTGTGCACCTGTACATGAGTGCAAATGCCTGCAGAGGCCAAGATCCCCTTGGAGCTGCAGTCACAGAGGGCTGTGGTTGGCCTGGCACGGATGCTGAGAACTGAACTCAGGTCCTCTGGAAAAGCAGCAAGTACTCTTACCACTGAGCCGTCTCTCCAGCCCAGGGTCCATTTAACCTGGAGCCTGCATATGTGCCAGGGGGCCCTGGGGCCACCTGATTGTCCCCACAGACTGCCAGTGTGAGCCCTGAGGCCACCTGATTGTCCCCACAGACTGTCAGTGTGAGCCCTGAGGCCACCTGATTGTCCCCACAGACTGCCAGTGTGAGCCCTGAGGCCACCTGATTGTCCCCACAGGCTGCCAGTGTGAGCCCTGAGGCCACCTGATTGTCCCCACAGACTGTCAGTGTGAGCCCTGAGGCCACCTGATTGTCCCCACAGACTGCCAGTGTGAGCCCTGAGGCCACCTGATTGTCCCCACAGACTGCCAGCAGGCCCTGGGGCCACCTGATTGTCCCCACAGACTGCCAGCAGGCCCTGGGGCCACCTGATTGTCCCCACAGGCTGCCAGCGGGCCCATGCTTCTTACTGGGCATCAAAATCCAGTTCACACAGTTTTTGATGAGCGCCCTTCTAAGCTATATCATTCTTTCTTTTTTTTTTTTCTAGGTTTGTTTTACTATAAAGCCTAGACTGTCCTGAAAGATCTCAAACTCACAGCGATCCTCCTGCCTCAACCCCCAGACTGCTGAAAGACAGGCACGTGCTGTCACACCCCACCTGCTATGTGTATTTGAGCTAGGCCCCTTGTGGGCATCACACATGCAGAGGTCAGAGGACTAGCTGAGGACCTGACTCTCCCTCGGGCTTGGCAGATAACACCTTCACCCCGTGCTACCTCAGCAAGGGATGAAGCACGGACAGGCGCTACCCTGAAGACTCACAGCCAGGCATGGAGGCCACACACAAAGCTAGGGGTGCCTGACCTCAGAGCAAGCACAGCCGCAGGGAGGGAAGCGGCCAGGGGCTGCGCGGGTACAGGAACTGCTCAGAAGACGGTGGCGTGCCTCACGACTCCACAGATAAACTAAGAGCCGGTGAGTGCCATGAGTCACACACACGGGCCATACTTCCCAAGTCACACACACGGGCCATACTTCCCAAGCGCATTCCACCCAAGCTCCAAAACCCTTTCTGGATAGGTGAGGTGGCGCTCAGGAAGTGGAGGGCAGAGCATGACGGCTTCCGGGTCATCCTCAGCAGCACAGTGAGTTCAAGGCTAGCCTGTGCTCCATTAGACCCTGCCTCAGCATCTCTTCCACAGACATCCACCCACTTCCTGGGAAGACCCAGACTTCCATCAAAACATCAGCCATGGTTACACTGCAGACATTTGACACCAACTGTATGCGGACACCTACTATATGCTGGAAACAAGCAGCAGCCTGGGCTGCCCCGGCCCGTGAGTGACACAGGTGTGACACTTGTTCATTCATTCACCAGCCACGGGGAGCTAGGCATGCTGAGAGTGACAAGGCGGGCACACGCCAACACGCATTTTATCTGTGACACCAAAGTCTCGGAGACACAATAAACTGGTTATAAAATCACCCAATGCTCTGGCTGACCTGTGTCACCTGGGACTCAGAAACACGGGTGTCTGCAGCCTAGACCCAAGAGTGTGCAGAACACGCCACACGTTGAGGCCCTGCCACCCTCCAGGAACATGCCACAGCACTCACTTGGCATGGGGATCCGGCACCAGGCCACTCCACCGTGGCCAGGGACCCAGCCAGACCAGCCAAATGGCCCCACCACCTGAGACAGTCACCCTCTGCCCAGTCCAGGGGCAGCTGTTTCCCGTCTCGGACGGAGGTGCACCACCTGGTCCCCAGCACAAGCAGCTGCCTCCATGCTGTTCCAAACCTCTGGGGACCCCATGGAGGGCCACTCAGCTATCCAAGAGGGACAACATCTTCTTCATGCAAAAGTAGGAGTACCCAAGGTGGGCCCAGGGGGCAAAACAGTCCCCTCCTCCTCAGGTAGCAAAGGAGTGACAACCGTCCCCTCGGATAACGAATGAAGGGACCCCTCTCCTCCAATGAAGGCGGACAACCGTCCCCTCGGGTAGCAAAGATGGGGCCACCTATCCCGCATGTAGCGATAAAGGATGGCACTTCACCCCTCAGGTAGCAATGATGGAGTCCCTGTCCCATCAGGTAGCAATCAGGGAGGTGACACGTGTCCATTCCGACAGCTGTGGTGAGGGCGCGCGTGCCCGCGGGTAGCAATGAGGGATGACACCTGTCCCCTCGGGTAGCTGCGAAGGACCACCTGTCCAGTCCAAACAGCAACCTCTCGAGCAGCCGCTCGGCGCCGGCCGGCGGCGTGGGGACACCTGCGGCGGCCGCAGCCCCGCCCCCGCGTCTCTCCCTCCTCCCCTCCCTCCTCCCCTCCCCTCCCCCGCGCTCTCACCCGCGCGGCCCGCGTCAGGCTCAGGTCCTTCATGACCTCCTCGAAGGCCGCCGTCTCCTCCGCCTGCTTCTGGTTGTGCAGTGCGATCTTCTCGCTAAATTTCCGCGGATTGTTCGAAGTCGCCATCTTCTCGCCGCCGCCTCCTCCTCCTCCTCCTCCACCTCTTCACCCCCCCCACTCGCGGGCGCCACTGCGCAAGCGCCGGCAGGGCCCACGGCCGGAGAGCAACGCGCAGGCGCAAGAGCTGCCGGACCCACGGCGCAGGCGCACTGGAGCAGCGCCGCGGGGGTGGGGCGAGACGCATGCGCCCATCGGAGCAGTGCGTTTGGACCTGGGAGGGGCGTGGCTACGCAGGCTCGCTGAGGCGCGCGCGGCCCTCAGGACGGCGGTCGCCTCCTTGTGGGTCCTGTGCCTTCCCCGAGTGGCCGAGGGCACGGCAGCACCGGTGCCTGCGTTCACTTAACCCCAGCAGTCACTGAGGAGTTCTGGGGCGCCCGCTATGCGCCAGGGCACGGCTGATCCGGCCGGGGAGGGGAGCCGACATCTCTGCGGGAAACAGCCCGGAGAGCAGGCGGCCCGAGGTGTAGCAGAGCCCGGCTCGGCACGCACTATAATAAAGTTTCAGATCGGAGGAAGCGTGCCGCGCCTTCTGAGAACGGCGCTGGGCGTGATGGCACAGCATGCTGGATGGAGCCAGAGGATCCGGAGTTCAAGCCATCCCTGCGTGAGTTCAAAGTCAGCCCGTGACGCAGGAGACTCAGTCTAAGGGGGGTGGAAGTCGACTAGGAAAGTGGCTCAGAGGTTAAGGGCACCTGCTGCCCTAGAGAAGGACCCGGCGTTTGGATCCCAGCACGCAGGCGGAGCAGCTCACAAGCCCTTCTAACTCCGGTTCTAGGGCATCCAACGCTCTCTTCTGGTCTTGGCGAGCGCATACGTGCGTGTGTACACACACACATGCATAAGTAAATTTTTTAAATTAAAAACATTACAGATATGCCCCTTTCTGAACGGAGGTGGGGGGAGGGAACTGGAGGAGATGAGGGAGGGGACACTAGTTGTTACGTAAAGTAAATGAAAAAAGTTAATTAAAAAAATTAGAGCGGGAGGGGGGAGCTGGGATTGACATTTGAAGCATGCATGTTTCTAATTTAAATAAAAACAAAACAAAAAATTAGAGCCGGGCGTAGGTGGTACACGCCTTTAATCCCAGCACTCGGGAGGCAGAGGCAGGAGGATCTCTGAGTTCGAGGCCAGCCTGGTCTACAGATCGAGTTCCACAACAGCCTCCAAAACAATACAGAGAAACCCTGTCTCAAAAAACCAAATAAAAAGTTAGAACTAGGGAGGTGGCTCTGTGGGTAAGAGCACTGTGTGTACAGGCATGGGGACCTGAGTCTCCAGCGCACATATAGAAGCTGGACTTGGCCATTCTAGCTGAGAGGCCCTGCCTCAAAGGAACAGGTAGAGGGGGATAGGGAAGACAACAGACCACTCCCTCTGGCTCCCATCCCAGCACGTGGGAGCCTGAGGCAGGAGGATCAGGAATTCAAAGCCATCCTCAGCTACAATAGAGAATTCAAGGCCAGTCTAAGAGACTGTCTCAAGCAGAAAGAAGTAAAAAGAAGAAGCGATCCGAGACCAGCACCCTGGAGAGCAGCCGCGTGAAGGATGCGAGGGTTGCAGCTACGCCAGGAAGCCCCAGGCCGTGCCCAGTGACTTCGTCCTCACTGTATCAGGTCCCCTCATCGTGACCCTCCAGCCTGTGGCTGCAGCCACTCTGACTCCTTGCTGTGTCCAGCCTGGGCTTCTCAAAGCTGTCCGCTATTCCATGGGACCAGAAACCCAACCTGAAGTAGGAATAGAAGAGTGAGTTGAGTCTCCCCAGTGGCAGAGGTGGCCAGGAAGCGTCAACTGGGAGCAACAGTCAGCTGTCTCTAGTCACACAGAGGGACCCTAGTCACCAATGTTGCGTCCACCCTAGGGTGACGACAGGGTGAAGTGGAGAGGCAGAAGGCTAGGACCTCCTCTTTGGCAAGTGACTGGACACAGCAAGGAGTCAGAGTGGCATTGATGACTCTAGAAGACACACCTACATTTGCCAAGCTTTACAGTAGGGCAGCAAGCACCACACATGGTAAACAGGCAGGTAGACGATGACCACTCGGCTGGGAATGACAGGTGAAGGGTGGTGGAGAAATGACAGGCAGGTAGTGGTAGACTGCGAACTCTTTTGCTTTTGAGGCAGGGTGTCCGGCAGTCCGGGCTGGCCTTGAACTCGTGATGATCCTCCAGAGCATTTAGAAGACAACTCGAAACCATCACACCTAGCCTTCTCACTGATAGGTCTCATGTAACCCAGGCTACCCTCCAACTGAAATGGCTTAATTTATGATCCTCCTGCCTCAGACCTGCAAGTGCTGGGATGACAGACCCATGGGTCACCACCATTTTGAGCACTTCCAGAGACTTCTACTGTGTGTGTGTGTGTGTGTGTGTGTGTGTGTGTGTGTGTGTGTGTGTGTGTACACATACTTTTGGTATGCATGGAAAGGAGGTGCATGCATCTACGGTCTGAGATTCGATTCTGGAACTGCGTTACTATGAGAGGTGGAACATGCACTCACAAACTCAGTGTCTTCCTTGGTCTCTCCCCAAGCCCAGAGATGGCTGACTGGCCTGCACGTCCCAGGGATCCATCAGTCTCCACGTTACTTGTGCTGGGTTACAGGTGCACCCTGCCATGACTTTCTATGGGTGTTGGTGACTGGAACTCGGGTAAGTCTGCAGTCTTTAAACCTGGGTTCCAGTACTGCTGAGCCCGTGATGACTCGAGGCCAGCCTTGGCTTCATAGCAAGAAGCTCCAGCACCCACAAGAGGCGACTCATGACACCTGGACCTCTAGCCCCCCCATGACCCCACCTTGCATTCACACACACAAAGGGAGAGGGGAAGGGGGACTTAAAACAAAGTAAGTATCACACATTCGTCTGAGGTGCTGAAGGTGACTATGAAACAGACCACATGAAGGAAGGTGGAGACTTGGAGGTCCTGCATCCAGCTGTGCCTAAGCTGAAGAACCGAGCATTGCACTCCAACACCTTTGCTTAGGTGAATCTTTCCCACCTGACACTGCCTGAGACCACAATTTCTGTCCAGCAGAGGAGAAACGGTCACACTCCTACCTGCCAACTGGTCCTTTCCAGCGTCCTAAGAGGTCAGAGGGCGCAGACGGCCCTGATAAACACGGGGAAAGTTAGGACTGGGCCCTGGCCAGTCTCAGCTTCCTCCACACGGCTTCAGAGATTTGAAATGTTGATTAGATACCAGCTTTCTCTGCCACTTTCTCAGATCTGAAAGGAGCCCATCACAAGCACAGGCTAATGGAGGGAGCAAAGGTCAGCAAAGTCAGCTAGGGGCTGTGGTCCACACACCCATCCGCCCCACAGCCCACCTGGGGCTGGATCTTTGCTGACCCTGTGTGGTGGAAGTACTTAGCGTGCTTGTTGGGCGATGGCTTGACCAGACTAAGTGCCCCTTGATGCATTGACCACCCCCAGGCCTGATGCTGATGTGGAGAGAATCAAGTAGTGAGGTCCCCCCCCCATCTTCCCTCAAAGGAAACTGCAGCATGTGGTGACATACGCCCAGCCCTGGGGACAGGTGGAAGGATTGTCACTCCTGGGGACGGGTGGAAGGATTGTTGCTTCCAAGGTTGGCTAGAGAGATGGTTCAGCATGCAGTGTGCTGGTTGGAATATGAATGGCCCCAAAGATGTGTGCACACCTTTAACCCTAGCACTCGGGAGGCAGAGGCAGGCAGATCTCTGTGAGTTCCAGGCCAGCCTAGTCTACAGAGCAAGTTCCAGGATATGCTCTAAAGTTACACAGAGAAACCCTGTCTTGAAAAATAAAGAGTTGCAGTGGTCATGGTGTCTGTGGTAGTTTGAATGTGATTGGCCCCCCCTAACTCATAGGGATTGGCACTATTAGGAGGTGTGGCATGTGTGTGACCTTGTTGGAGGAAGTGTGTCACTGTGGGGCGGGCTTTGAGGTCTCCTATGCTCAAGCCATGCCTAGTTCAGCTCACTTCCTGTCACCTGAAGGTCAAAGATACAGAACTTTTAGCTCCTTCTCCAGCATCAAGTCTGCCTGCATGCCTCCATGACACACCAAGATGCTAGCGGACTAAACTGCCGAACTGTAAGGCAGCCAATGAAATGTTTTCCTGTAGAAGAGTTGCTGTGGTCATGGTGTCTCTTCACAGCAACAGAACGGTGACCAAGACAGCAGGAAAACCAAAGGCAAAGAACTGGGTTTGAGTCCCAGCATCCACGTGGCAGCTCACAACCATCTGTAGCTCCAGATGCAGGGGACCCGGCCCCTCTTCTGCATCCTCGTGCATACACTGACATGGTGCACATATGCTCACCAAGACGTACAGAAACAAGTAAGTTCTAAGTAGCTATTCTTTGAATAAAACAAACAGCGGCTGGGTCCAAGCATTAGGACTGCGTCTGCATCCCACACATGTAAAGCTGGGTGTGCCATCACCCCTGCACTGGGGAGCAGAGACAGGTGGGTCCTGGGAGTTCACTGGCCAGTCAGCCTGGCTAAATGGTGAAAGACTGTCTCAAGGGAATAAGAATGGGACAGCAGAATATTCCAGATGTCCTGCCCTGGTCTCTACAGGCTCATAAATGGATACAAAACACTTGCATGGATGCAACACACACACTCACAGACATACATGCTTACACACACACACAGATACACATGCTCACAGACACACAGATACACACACATAGACATATATGCTCACACACACAGACATACACATACACAGATATACAGACATACATGCTCACACACACATACATGCTTGTACACACATGTTCATACAAATGTACATGCTCTCACACACATACACTCTCACATACATACATGCTCACAAACTCACCCACAGGTTCACACACACATAGACCCACACTCACATACATGTCTACACACACACAAGACACACATGCTCACGCATTCACAAACATATATGCTTACACTCATACATAGATTCACACTTACACAAGCATTCACCCATTCACACAATGCTCTTACACAGACTCACACTCATACATTCACACACACATACATCATTATTGTCATCGTCAT